TTGAACTGCCAATTTTGCAGTCCAGCGCTTATCCTACAATACCACACCAGGACTCCTGGTGTCTAAGACAATATTTCTGTTAGGTAAGATAATAAATCCTCCTATCATTTAATTTATTCTAACTTGGGTCTGCTCTTACTTGCAAATGAAAATATTCTAACTGATAATCCACAAAGTGGTATTTTTCCAATAAGCTGCAATGTTATCTCTATATTTATATCTGGTAGCAGCCTTAACACTCAGGGAGAAAAAGTAACTCGTCTGGATGATTCAAAGCCAAAATGCTCTTCTTTCCTCCCATTTATGTATGCATGCTCCATATTGCCCTTCATGCCAAATCACAGAAGTGCAGGGCAGAGGGGGGGCTCACTGGGCAACACTGTCAGAGGGGATGATACCAAAATGAATGTCTATAAATTCTTGTGCAGTTGTTTCCGTAGAAATTGATTATTTTCATATAACCTGTATTAGTTATAACAACAAAAACATTTTTGTAAACTCATTTTACATGTATCGATACTGTATGCCATGGAGTTGGTTCCAACTCCTAGTGTTCCTATATAGGGTTTCTGAGAAGTGGCTGGTGGATTTGAACCTCTGATCTTGAGGCTAGCAGTCCAGTGCTCATCCTAAGGCCACAACAGGACACCATCAATATATCCACAAGCCTAAAATTCTATGGTAATTTACTTTCTGAAGCTCCTTCTGTCTGCTCCCATAAAGATTTACTGTCCTACTCTGTCCTACAGGGTTGCTATGAGTTGAAAGCAACTAGAAGGCCATGAATAATTCGCTCTTTCAGATCTGTCACTGTCATAATTACCCAATCAGAGTGGTGCTTCAAATCACGTGGTATCATCTGCAGCTGCTACAAGCACCTCCGGTGTTTTCATTGCTGCAGGTGTGGTATATCTTATAGTAGCTGATTTCTGGTGGGCATGGGGACACTTTCTGAGTGTGCTGCCCCTCTGCCCTGGATCTGAAGGGAGCAAAGACAGGCTCTTCCCACCGGAATGCACCTGGTCAGGTCTGTATGTCCCCTAGGCTGTGGCGCAGGAGTGAAACTCCATCTTCTGACGTCTTGCCCCTTTCCCTACTCTTGCCCACAGGTGGGTCTCTTTAGAGGGTCAACAGTCATTTTCTGTCCTGTCTCCCTGGATTGCTCTGGGAAGCACAGCTTGGAGAGGAAGCCTCTCCTGCTCAGGCCCCTAGAGGAGAGCAGGGTGGGGAACCGGGGCACAGATAGGGGTCCCTGGAACTCCTGATGGGGAACCTGGTGGGACTGGATCCAGGAACACGTTGGGAGGAAGCATCATGGTGGAGTTGGGTGTTAGAGCCAGCTCTGAGCTTCAGGGCCTGGCCCGGGTCACAGTGTCCCTGTCCACTACCAGGGCCAACTGTTGAGGAACATAACCTGCTGACCAGAGCCAGGCCCGGGACACAATCTCACAGCACCTCAGCCTCAGTAGTGTTCCAATGCACATCACGTGAAAATCAGTCACATTTGCTTTCAAAGTCACGAGAGTAAGGGCATTGAGAAGAAGGAGGTCGGCCTCAAGCACAGCCACACTCAGGAGGAAGGGTCTGCTAGCTGACAGAGGAGGCAGCTACTTCCGCTCACGGAGTCTACAATGCACTTGATGTGTACAGATTATAAGCTGGGCTGCAAACCACAAGGTTAATAGTTTGAATCTATCCGTTGTCCAAGGGAGAAAGATGAGAATTTCTGCTCCCGTAAAGATTTACAGACTCGGAAACCCTATAAAGGGTCTCTGTGAGTCGGAAGACTTGGAAGCACATAACAATAACATATGTGGTTGTTGTTGTTAAGTGCAGTCAAGTCAGTTCCAACTCATAGTGACCCTGTATAGGGTTTCCAGGAGCGGCTGGTGAGTTTGAACCACTGACCTTGCAGTTCAAATCAACCTTGTGGTCCAGTGCATTACCCAGTGCATAGCCACACCAAGATTCCAACATATACTCAGAGATCTCTTACAGTTGAATTTGTAATAAAGCAGGATGTGAGTGGGAAGAAGGACTGGGAATCAGACCCACTTGGGCACTGGGGAGAAGAAAATTAAATCAATAAGAGGTGTAGAAGCGGGGCCTTGCTCCCCCTTCTACACCAAAGCCAGAAACCTGGGTAATCAAAGAATTAGGAGAGAGAACAGAGATTCTCTCAATCTTGGGGCGGCAGTTAGGAGGTTACTGAGTCTCCTACCCCGTATCCAGATGTCACACCCTCCCTGACAGTGACCTGTTGGGCTGTAGACACAGAATTAGAGGTGCTGGGAGTAAGGAGAGTGAGGAAGGACCCTCAATGCTAATTCTCCTCTGGCTGAGGGTGGGCAGGAAAGAGACAGAGCTCAGGTACTGAGCAGCCAGAACAAGAAGGTGGTGAGACACACAAAGAGGAAGTCCTGTCACCTGGAGGATGGAGCACAGGGAAGAAATCCCAGACCCACACACAGCTCAGCAGAAAGACTCTTGTTTACCGAAGATGGTGGACAGAGAGGCAAAGGGGAAAGCACCAACACCAAATGAGAAGTCAAAGTGTCCACTATCCCAAAGACTTCCACCCCTCTCTGTGCTCTGGAGCTGATACCTGGTTCTGGAGACAGGTGGAGTTTTCAGTACAGGATCCTGAGGCTCCTGGCTCCCTCACCTCTAATTCAAGAAAACCTTTCCTCAGTTATTGCCAGCTTTACACGCTGGGTGATCAAGCCAATGGGGCTATGTCTATAGCCAGTGATGGAGACAGGAACAGCCTTCAAGTGACCTAACCAGTGTCCCAAGCAGTTTCCAGACATTCACTTGTACACACTGATGGGGACTTGGCAGACCCTTGTTCAGGACACAATCCTGGCATATATCTTTCCTGATTTTAAACCACATAGGTTTAAATTCAGAATTGGTGGAAGACTCTTTAACAATCTGCCATATGCAGATGACACAGCCCTGCTTGCTGAAAGTTCACGAAGAGGTCTGATGAAGATGAAAGGCTACCACCTTCAATATGGACTACACGTTAACATAAAGACACCAAAAATTCTCACAACTGGACCAATAAGTGTTGCAGACCGTGTAAAGCTGGACAGAATTTTGAGGCCCACTGGGCCCAAGTGTTGTAGACAATGCAGACCACAGGCTCTGAGGAACAGATTCTAGCCACCTAGCAGTTATGGCAAATTGTTTTGCATCTTAGTATCTAGTGATGTTTTTTACTAAATGCAGACATGAAGCCCTGATATCCACAGATAAATGTAATATTTTCCTTAAGCCGAGACTGTAAAGGTTTCAAAGGTTAAGCTTTTCTCCAAAGGATTAACTAAAAATAGCTTTGCTACTACCCGGTTCTTTGTTCTAGAGACAAAAGGACATCCTCCCTAATCCTTTCCCAGGTGCAGCCCATTCACCTGAGTGTTTCGCGCCTTCCTGCAATCCTGGTTCAGGAAGCCAACACAGCGTGAGACTCGTCCCAAGCCTTTTGACCTTCCCTCTCACCTTCTCCCAACTGAGTTCAGGGGCTATAGATATGTTAATTGAGCCTGAGAAACCAAGTTGTGGGCCTGGGATTCGAACCAACGAAGTACGATGTAAAGTTGCCTGAATGTCAGAAGAATTACGTATGATAGCTGTACCTTGTCTTAGTCCCTCCCAGCTTGGTGTGAAGCTCCTCCCCTAAATAAAACAGAGGCGCAGGCCAGCCGAGGTGTGCATTACAGGCAGGTGGTGAAAGAGTGCATTACAGCTAGCAAGGTGTGCATTACGGGCACAGCTAAGATGTTTACCATACAGGACCTTACTGCCCTTATGTCTAATATGTTCACCACGCCAGAGCTGCCGGACGCCAGTAATGCATCCATCCTGGTTTCGGGGTGTCTCTTTGTCTCCCTCTTTGTGTCTTTCTGTGTATTCTTTTGCTATCCCTATCGCTGCCAGATATCCCCTCCTCGTGAACCAAACACTCGTGTCGAGGCCGGTCACCGACAAATAAGCAACATCATGATAAACAGAGAAAAGTTTGACGTTGTCAAGGATTTCATTTTACTTGGATCCACAATCAGTGCCCGTGGAAGCAACAGTCAAGAAATCAAATGAATTGTGTTGGGTAAATCTGGTGCAAAAGATTATTTTAAGTGTTTGTTAAAAAGCAAACAAATGTCACCTTGAAGACTAAAGTGGGCCTGACCCAAGCCATGGTATTTTATTTGTTGTTGTTGTAAAAGGAAGCTGTATTGTTTTCATTTGGTCCACAACTTGGGAGAAAAGGAGCTACAGGCTAGTGGAGATGCTGCCTCTGTGGCTGGAGAGCAAGTTTCAGGCAGTAGGTCTGGTTTGAGGAGGGCAGGGGAAGGCTTAAGGCCACTCCTAGGTTGCCGCATGCCCCAGGCTCCTAATCGTGCTTGAGGGTGAGCCTCTGGAAGAGATATTCACCCAGTCCAACCTGGGGGCTGGCCACCCTGTGGAGATTGGTCAGGTGATCTCCCATCTTGAGAATTTTCACCTCCTTATTGAGGACATGTTTCTCCAGAAAGTCACAGAGGTGGGGGTCTGTGGGTGGCACCCATGGTGTGTAGATCCAGAAGGGACTGGTTCAGGTTCTTCTCCAGGGCCATGATGGCTTCCATGGCATCTAGAGTTCTTTCCCACTCACCTTGCGATGGCTTCTGCACATCCTGGAAGAGAGCACCACCACCACACTGGTTTTGCAATTTCAAGAAACGCTTGGCACCCTCATGCTTCTCCTTTGCCAACTCACAGAAGAAGTGTCCCACACAATCGATACAGAAGCCCAGAGAGAGGTAGGTGTAAGAGGCCCACAAATACAGGTTGACCAGATGGTTGATGCTGGTCTCTGCTTCAGTGAAATAATTCCAATAAGTCATGGTTGGTTGAAGATTTGGAGCTAGCCACACACACAAAAATGGTGTTTAGCTGGTCCAGGTAATAGGAAATGGTTAAGAAGATGGGAGAATAGATTGCACCTAAAGAGGAGGTTAGAGGTGGTCCAAAACTGGAGGTGGGGAGTCCCCGGATCTGTTCCATCCAAACACTGTTGAAACAAGAGACATCCACAGGACCACCAGGTGAACTTAAGTCATGGTATTTTCAGTTGCCTCATATGCATGAACAATGGATAAAGAAGATTGAAGATGAATTGATGCCTTTGAATTGTGGTGTTGGGGAAGAATAGTGACTATATCATGACTGCCAGAAGAACAATGTGTCTTGGAAGAAGAACAGCCAGAATGCTCTTAGAAACAAGGATGGCAAGATTTATCTCAACTTTGGAAATGTTATCAGGAAGGACCTGTCCCTAGAGAAGGATACCAGTAGAGGGTCAGTGAAAAAGAAGAAGACCCTTGGATTAGAGCATAAATTATGAAGGCTTTTTGTCTGCAAACCACTGCAGCCAGGTAGTTTAATTGCAACTTGTGCCCAGGGTGAAGTGCTCAGAGGCCAATTTTCCTGGAATGCCTCATGCATCACTGATAGGCAAACTTCTAGAGTTGGAAGCAGAGTACATTTGGAAGTGGTTTTTAGCCACTTCCCCCAGTCAGCTCTCACAGGAGTTTTCCTGGGCATGCCCCTTAATGGCTGCTTTAATGATTGCCTTGTGATGTACCCCAAGAGCCTCAGAGACAGTCTGTAAGCTTTCTTATATCTGCAATGGTTCCCTCCCTACTCCCGGAAGCCTGGCATGTATAAGTAGCTCATTGCTGTCTTCAGTAATGGTTATGGGAAAAGATTTCTTTTTCCTCCGTGTCCTATAAATAGGTCACCATATGGAGGTAGAACTTTGGAAAACTATTATAGCATCATAGTAATGATTTCCCTCACCTGAGTGATCTACATTTGTCTGTCTTACTTTTACTCTTGGTTAAGACTCAATAAAAAGTCTCTATAATATAGATATAT